CAGAGGCGCTCCGGCTTCTCGGCAGACTGACCTTCACGCTGAAAGGAAAGCACGCAAGGAAAGGCAAAAATCTCGGGAAAGGACATTTGTAGGACGAGATGCCCCTCCTTCTGAGCTAACACCTGCTGCTGACGGGGACGCAGGACAGGATGGAGCCTCGCTCCCCAACAAGAAAGCAGCTAAGCCACGAATCCCCCAGGGTCCTCACGGTTGTGGACGAGGCTGCAGACACACACCACCACATCCTCACTGGGAACCAGAAACCCACCGGCAGGCTGGCTAACGGTGGCCAGTGAGGTGACAGCTGCAGATCACCCAAGATGGCACGACGCTAGAGGGACCCAACCCACGGCGGCAGGGGAAGGCCAGATGCCGAAAACTCACCCCTCGCCCGCCCTTGAGAGGCTGCCAAGGAACCACGCCCCCGGAACAGGAGGCGCGTGTGCAAATCGCTCATGCTGTGCTGCACCCAGCTGGACGGATACGTGTGTAACAGAGAACCTTCCAGGCCCCAGAGCTCATCAGTGGGTGAGACAGGAGCAGGAACACCTGGCCCTCGCTCAGCCTTGCCACAACTTAGCTGTGTGATCTGCAGCTGCAAACCTCACTTCCCTGCGTGTTCAGGTGCCTCCGCCCTAAGGAGGGCGGGCTGGATTCACCTGGGGGACGGAAGTCAGCATCTGGTGATGTCGGCCATCATCAGCCCCCTGCTCACAGGGGACTTACCTTCCAATCAGGACTTTTCTTGGGTCATTTTCCATTGTAACTTTTCTTATTCGACAAAGATAAGTTGATACCAGGGCGGTAGGGGGTTGGCTGGCTCCTTTGCTAGAGCACGTGACTCTTGATCTTGGGGTGAGGCTCGGGCCCCCCGCTGGGCACAGAGATGACTTAAAAACCATAGTAATGATAGATAATCCTATACTAATGATACCAGCAGACACCTGCTGGCAATCCCTTGTGTCAGGCTCCCAGCAAAGAGCTCTGCATTCAGGCTGAATACTACCCCATGTTGGGCACTACACCCCTGTTGTGAACGGGAAGAAACTGAGGCACAGAGGGGCTCACATGGGGTGCCCAACGGTCACCCGGCTGCCGCTGAAGGCAACTGGAAATAGGCTGAAGAAATGAGATCTCCGTCGATCGACAGATAAGTTTCTGGCCCCTAACATGTAAGGAGGAAAATGGCAACCGGGGGAGCAGAGAAGGCTTTGTTACGCACGAGGATAATTGGGGCAGATGGGGAATTACACCCAGACTCTCCCGTGCCCTAAGAGGTTCCACAGCCTCTTGGTTTTTCTGCACGAGGAAAAGAACCCACAAGCCTGAGCAAAACTCTTGAAGGCAGCCAACGCTTCTGCCCAGAGGGACTGACAAAATGATATGACGTGATTGATCCCAATCATGCCCGTTTCCTCCAACAGCTTCAAATTAAGTCGTCCTTTTTAGAAGAGCACGACCACTTTAATTTTTTAAAAGACAGAGGGGAGGAAACTCTTGCATATTTAACAAAATGAAATAATCATCCGGCGAAATAGGAAGACACAGAACGGACCCATCGTCTTCTGATCAAAATGTACTTCGCTAATTAACGGCCACTAGTCTCCAAAGAGTCGCCCCTCGACTAGTTAATAAAGCCCCATTATACTTCACTTGAGATGTGAACATTTACATGGCAAAGGGGTATGAATGAACTGCGGGATTCAAAACCCTTCCTTCGGGTCGCTCATTAAAATTCTGGTCAAAATGGGTTTTTATTTATATGATACGTTAAAGAATATTATGACAGTACTAATGTGAACTCTGCTCAGTGCCACAGCTTTGCTTTCGTATTAAGTTACAGTTTCTTTCCACTAGTCTTGTTTTTAACACCTCCACGAATATTTCTCTGGCGAGTGCTAGCAAAAGAGGGACAGCCAGAAAGCAGAGAAATGCATTTTAACCGAAGCCCACGCTGACATATCATTTACAAGCTCCTCACCCAGCCCCCGAGGAGGGGGCGCAGTTCTCCTTGCACCGGGACCCTTACACAGCCACACACAGAAGTTTTATTGAAGGGAGATGCACAAAAAATAAATAAGGCTTGACTTAAACTCCCAGACTCCCCTGCCAGCCAGGGTTTGGCCTCCAACACCAACTTCGGTCTGAAATCCCCGCCGGGCTCAAATTCTATTGGAAAATAACCACTGACAAGAAAGGCACTTTCTCCCCACTCTGCCCCAACTCCCAACGAGCACACACCTCACCAATTCCCCAGCCACTTCCCTGGAGCTGAGCAAACCCAGAGCTCTGTGAAAGGGTGCCCCTCCACACAGCCAGCCCAAGTCACCTCACGGGATGACATCATGGGGGCTGGGCCAATCACCCAACCAGAGACCTTCTAAGTCTGCACGCGCTGTGGTTCTGCTCCTCCAAGCCTGACCACCATCCTGAGCTGCGTCCTCTGCCCGAACGGACAGGTGACACCCCTGGATCCTGACACAGGACAGCACACTGGGCGGGGGGCCGGGTCTGGAGCTAGGCTGCCCACACCCCACTTCTCAGCCCGAGTGTGCCTCGGTTTTCTCATCTATAGATTGGACATAATCCTAGTGCCCACTTCTCCAGACACAGGGGAAGACTGGGTAAGTTGGTAAACGTAAGAAGCCTACAACAGTGCCTGGCACATAAGCTCAATTAACGTCATTATGATCACTAGACCTCTCTTGGCCATTGGTATGAGAGCCTAACAAAATTCATGGTAAAAACAGCAGGTAATGCATATGGTACTACCACGTACCAGGTCCTTTTTTTTTTTTTTTTCTTTTTAAGCACTTTACTTGTATTAATTTAATCCGCACAAAAACTCGGTAAGATGGGGTATATGAAATTCCAAAAAAAACAAACAATCTGCCCACATCCACACAGCAAATGAGGGGCAGAGCCAGGATCTGAACCCAAGCTGTGGTGCTTGAATACAACAATAAGAAGGATGATTAAACCAATGGAAATTAATGGTAGCAGCGACAATGAGGAGGGATGGGTTCCTCACCCAGCCCAGGGCTCTTGCACTCTTCACAGCAACCTTGCGAGGGGTACTTCCATCGCTCGTGTTTTACCGAGGAGCAAAGAGGTTTGCTCAGTGTCTCGGGACCTGAGATGCAGATGGAGATAACAGATAAGGAAGTCCTTGGGAAAGGGTGCCATAAAAAGCAAGGTATTGTTATGCAACCTCTAGAACTCCACGGAAAGATGTCCTCCCCCAGCTGGTATAATATTTGCTCACATCTAAAAGTCTGACAATCCACCTAAAACATCCCAGACTCTGGGGTGGGGTGGGGGGAGGTGCACGCTTCGACAAGTTCGAGAAATAGTCTGTCTCGTTTTCAAGTTGAATGCATCACTGAGAAACCAAATGCCAGAGTATGTTAAAATGAAATATAGCCTTCCTGGTTTAAAAAAAAAAAAAAAAAAAAAGTGGCGGGGAGTGAAGGGTGGGCAGCAAGAGGGAAGAGAAAACAGGTCAAACCCATGGTTTGACCGAGTCAGGGATTTTTCCAGTTTCCCTTTAGGGTAATCAGATCCTAGTTCTGGGTGATCAAATGACTAACCTGGAAATTTGAAGATTCACACTTATGGAAGAAACAGCAATTCTTCCAAACCCAGGAAATACTGCTAATTCTGGAAAGCCTCTGAAATGTCAAGGATCACACACAGTTTGAAAAGCAACCTTTACGCAGTTAACAGTCCCAAAGTTTGTGCTCAGTACAGAAATAATATAACCTCTTTGGTTCATTGATTCCTATGATCTGCTTAATCATTAGGGGGGAAAAATGCCTTAAAGTATTTCTGCTCTATTTACTTAAGAGATTTGTGTTTCCTTCGAAAGAAAAGGAAAAGAAAAATTACATGGGGGGGGGGTGAAGGAAGGAAGGATGGATCACATGGCAGGCTCCAGACCTGAAATTCTCAAAATGTCATCCACAAGAGCCAACTTTTTCTTCATTAAAGTGCTTCATCCCTCCCTTTGCACAATGAAAAGGTTCCACCTATGGGAGACTATGCTTGAAGAAATACAGGGACTCTGCAAAAGCAACAGCGCTTTCCCCTTTATGACCTGTAATCGGAAGCATCACCTTTTCCCCTCTTCCCTAAAGGAATGCCAAGGCCACAGGTTACAGAAAAAGTGTCCCTCTCCATATTACACAGGGAAGAAAAAAATCATTAAAATGTGTGATTTTAACATGTCAAGTCCATAAATTTCACCTTCGGTTCCAGGTAGCTCTGTTCTCATACCCAGAGCTGGCAAGCTCAGCGAAAACTGTGTTAGCCACACACTTGTGAAAAAGTGAAGGCCGATCTCAATCCTCCAGGCAAATCTCGTAGCACCACTCCTCCAAGGTTATAATAGACTCAGAACTTCTCTCCCAGACCCCAGCACTTGCATACAGAGGCAGCACAGATGGTCTCAAACGTGGCCTGATTGATCCCACCAACCTGAAACCAAGACTTCCGCTGCCGCCTCTGTCCGAATCAGAGCTTCATGGGCCTACGAAGTTGTTTTTCCAAGAAAAGACAGGCTGTGTACTCAAATTCTACTCCTCTCCATAGACTCCAAGTTGTAAGGGCCTTCAAAGAGAACCCTCCGAAAGACAGTCACAGGGAAAATAATTAGGGTCCAAGTTCTCCCGATAAGATCTTGGCAATGCTTAAAAAATAAATAGAACATTTGCATAAATATTGCAACAGACGGAGCTCTGTCCTGCCATCAAGGATCAGGCTTGCCCCTGCCCCCTGTTGGAGGCTCAGAACCCACCTCGGGAGAGCTAAATTGCAGACGCACGCAGTTATCTCGTGGAGCTCCTGGCCTGGCCTGGACTCTCACAGCCACGTGCTGACACCGTAAAGGAACCTGAAGGCACCAGGTTTCAACACTTCATTGCCAGTACTCTGTTTGAAATTCGAAATCCTTGGCAACCATCTCTGAGGGCTAAAATCCTATTACTGATTCTCCTACTTACCTTGGGTTGCGCCCGACGAGGAAATGCAACTTTAGGGTCAATCTGGAGGGGAAAATGGGAAAGGAAGAGTCAATTCCAGTATTTGGAGGCGAGGAAGAAAAAAAATCACCTAATTATTAATCACTCATTTCTCAGGCTTATAACCCAGCTTTTAGTAACTTCTCAGGCAACTCAAAAGTTCCTTAAACTTTGATCCAAACTTTACTCGTCCCTCCCGCAATGTAATAAATAAAGCTAGCCTCTCTGAAACATCCTACCATGTATTTCAATGTGCGATGGTCTTAATAAATCAGATCTCACATGTCCTTATCTAAGCAAAGGTTTCTCTTCCACAGATACTGAACACTGAATGGTACCGATATCTAATTGGCAGTACATGACTAGGAGAAAAGATGGGGACATCATCCCTGAAAAAAAATCATAACCTGAAAAATTAAACATAAGAATTTTTTTCAGGGGCTCCTGGGTGGCTCAGTGGGTTAAAGCCTCTGCCTTTGGCTCAGGTCATGATCCCAGGGTCCTGGGATCGAGCCCCGCATTGGGCTCTCTGCTCAGCGGGGAGCCTGCTTCCTCCTCTCTCTCTGCCTACTTGTGATCTCAGTCAAATAAACAAATAAAATCTTTAAAATTTAAAAAAAAAAATTTTTTTTCAGCAGTCAGTAACTAGATAGGAGATATTCTCCCCGAGGATAACTAAACAAGGCAGGTGGAAAAGGGGATTCAAAAAAATTTTTTAAATCATCAACATCTAAAAACTCCCCATAGACATCCAACACGAGGCTCAGCTTGAGTTCATTCATTCGTGTTGCCAAAAGTACAGTCACCTGAGTTAGCCAAAAAGTTCATTCTGTAGTTAGACCGCAAGAGAAAGCAAGTGTCAAAAGCTACGGAGCCTAACCCAGTTCTTAAAAATAATAATAATAATAATAATAATAATACAAGAAAACACATAAGCCAAAACCACCTGGATTTTAAAAATCACAGGGGGTAGAATTCTATGAGCAACCTAAACCCAAATTATAAAAGGAAGGCCATCAAGGGGAGAGGGTTAAAAAAAAAAAAAAATCACTGAAAAAAAGAAGTTAGAACCTACTGTAACAATTAGGGTATTCTTTCTACCCCAACCCCAATCAGAATGGTAAAACATCCTCCACCCCAGATCAGACACTCAGCAGAACACATGATTCTCAAAAGGGGAATGGCTTTAAAATGCAAAACAATTCCCAGGGAGGCATTTGAATCTAATAGGCTGATCTGAGGTGGGGGAGGTCGCTGGACAGAAAATATGGGGAGGGAAAGAATTTTTAAAATCCCCATTATTGGTTTTCATTAGACTTCTAAATGTCACGAATGTTTGGGTAAAACTCAACACAGAATATTGCTACCAGTTATTTATTCATAGGCTCTGGCTTTCAGAGTACAATCTGCCCCCTTTTAAAATGTAAACCTGAACCTTGTTTTCAGTTCTGCCATGGGGCAGCAAAAAGAGTAAGGCTGTGGGATGAAGCACAGAGCAGGGGCAAAGCACACCAGAGAGTTCCTGAGCCCAGACCTACGTCCCTTAGGACACCCCAGCTGGTAAAACAAACAAAGATTTACCACTTTTACTAAGGTGGTTTAAAGACCTAATAAAATTCCATAGCATGGTTTTGTTGTTTTGGGTTTTTTGTTTGTTTTTTTAACCTTCAAACATCACCTGAGAAATGAGGGATTACTTTTCAAAAACTAAAATAGACAAAAATCTCTGATCTAGGAAACTACCCTCTCAATCAGGATTAACATTACCGCATCTACAGGTGTGTTCAGCACTGAGTAGAGCTGTCTACGAGAGAGATACAACAGGTGTGGATTTTCCATTCTGTTGACCAAACGTAAGACAGGTGTGTCTTTTTATAAACACGCCCCTGACTACGGCTTTTGAGCTGACCAGCACACAATTGCGGGTAAGAGGTCACCTTGTTTATGGAGTAAAAAGTGAGGGACACAGTCGTGAGAGAGACCAGGAGCTGGAGGAGAGGGACAGGAAGACCTGAAGATAGCAGGACACTCAAAAAATAACTAAAAATTACAAAACTCAAAGCCAATTCAGAATTCCTGGATGGCGGGTTTGTGACAGCAGCGTGTCAGACCACCAGGCGTGTTTATCGGAGTGCAAAGTTTACACGCTGCGATCTCTAAAGGAGAGGCCAGGTCAAGGTAAGTATGGCAAATCCCAACCTTTTGCACATCCCTGTCAACTATTTTTTTTTTTAAACAAACAAAAAAGAAAGCTACCAAAAATTAAAACATTAGTTAGTTAGGTACAGTTCTACTTACTGTAGCTACAAATCCTCTAGGAAAAGACTAGGGTACTATTTTGGATGTGAATGGCCGTTACCTAAACAAAGCTTTTAAGGTAACGGTAAACAAGATCCTCGTTTCCATGTCAATAAACCAACCGCTTCTGCCTCCTGCACTGAACGTTGAAACAAAGTCAAAATCTAGGTTATACTAAATAATAGCGACCAAAACATATCCACAAACAATTACAGAGGGACAAACCGCACGTTTTGCACCTGACACTGAGGGCTATGACCCCCCAAGCACCATAGAAACCACATACTATTTCTCCTACCCAGGGTGGGGAGACGGAGTGAATAATAAATTCCTGAATTTGCCTTGAAATATTTTCCTCTTTAATTTTGTTCGCTTTTTGAAACGTCTGACCAAGAAGTCAAGGGGAAAAAAAAATTCTTGAGACATCCATTATCACCCTACAAATGACTGTTCCTAAAATTAAATTATCTAAAAGCGTAAAAACGCTGGGCTGCCAGCTATGACAAATCCAGCACAATTCATAAAGCAACTTAAAAAGTGTCTGGGGTCCTCTCTGGGGGGGCCAGGGAACATGCACGTGACCTCTGATCAGAGTAAAAGGGTTAATTTACAAAATGTATCCACCTGCACCAAAGGTGGCCAGGTTTCCTGCCCTTTTCCCACTTCCCCTCAATGTTAAAGCCAAAGGGGCTGGAAGAGTACCCTATTCCACTCCTATATTTTACAGAAAAGGAAACTGAGGGCCCAAGGCAGGTAACAACTTGCCCAAGTTCATAAAGGGCAGCCGGGACTAGAACCTGATCCTTTGCCTTGCCCCACCACCGACCCCAGTCCCAAGCAGCCCAGCACTGGATCCCAATGTCACCTCCGGGCCCCTGTTTTGAGGGATGTATAAAAACCAGGGGAAGATTCTCACAGGCATAAAGGGAAGGGGGAAAGCCACAAAGCCAACACAGGTGTCTAAATAAAACATTAGGAGCTGTCCGCCCCCCCCCAATGATTGTACTAATATCTCTTCCCTTCTTCTCTAAGCTCTACCTAAAGACTTTCCCCTCCCCACACACGTCTCTGAAAGCTTCTAATCCTATAAAAGTACCCACACTCAAAATAAAGGATCTGAGGGAAAAAAGCAAAACCAAATCACTTGGAAACCCAAGGCCTTATCAGCGTTAGATTTCACTCCATCTGGAGTCACCCCCTGGACGCCCCGCTTGGCTCTGGGAGGTCTCCTTCCCCTCTCAAACCGCATTCCGAATCCGAGGTGCCCCAGGAGGAACCTGTTGCCTGGGCCTGTGATTAGCGCCCCCCCTTGCCTTCCTGACGGCCCCCATCCCTCTCTCTCTCCGCTGGCCACAAAGCAGGCTGTGCCTTCTAAAATACAATGCCCACAGCCACAGTTGGTAACGCGTGCTGTGCTCGGCTGACAAAGAAAAGTTGCCTTGGCTCTGTCGTGCAGTTTCTTTGCATGGTCCCTGGGCCGGCGAGATGCCTCTCCCTGAGCGGACCCCTCCCCCAGGCCCGAGATCGGCAGCATCTGGAGCTGCAGTGGGACAGGCTCTGCAGAGAAAACCCCAACCCCAGCCATGGCAGCAAACTTCAGAGCCAACTCGCCAGCCCTGCTCATCACTACCCGGTTCTCAGCACAGAAGCAAAAGAAAGCACGGTCCCTTTAAATGGGGCTGTCAATGCCCAGATGGGTCCTGAACAGGGGCGAACAACAACAACGAAGGAAAGCAACCTACCGTCTTGGAATCTAACTCATGGTGGGGCTGACCTAATACTTTATCTACACTTGCTGGGTCTGCGAACGTGACGAAACCGAAGCCTCTGAAATGAGACAAAGAGGGAGAAAAACAAACAAGAAAATGTGACACCATTGAAAGCAACAAGGAGTGAGCCCTCCTGCAGAATGGAGAGCCAAAGTTGCCCCCTCGCACCCTGGCTGCCCACAGCCCTCCCCCCTCGCAAGAAAACCCATCAAGGTTAACGGGGGAAGTGGAACGGGGGCAGGGCGGTGGAGGTAACTTGGAAAATGCTGGTGTCTCCACTCTTTCGCCACCTCAGTCTCCTCTCCTCCTCCCCTTCCCTTTCTTAACGCTTTGTTTTATTCCGAAGAAAACCCGGCGCTCAGAAGAGATTCATCCAGCTTTCTAAAAGGGGCTGAAGAGTTTAGGGAGCTGGGAGTGTGGGAAAAGCATACATTAAAAGAAAAAAAAAAAAAACTATGTAGAAAGTGAATGAAGCTGAATGTCATTTTAAACCGGAGGAAAAGAAGCGACGGGAAAAGGACTTAAAGCAGAGAGATGGGCATCTCCGTAGCCAGAGTTCAGCCCCAATTAACAATAACCTTTCGGGTGATGGGGGCGGGGGTGGGGGGTGGAATAGAGAGACGTTCGAAACCAGCCACATGCCTGAGCCCCATTCTAAATCCGCTTAGCTACTTCCGAAGACACCTCCAAAAATAACACTTAAACTTTGTTCTAAAATAAAGACAAAATCCAGAAGGGAATGGTTTACCTGGAGCGTTTCGTAGTGGGATCTCTCATGACCATACATTCTCTAATTTCTCCAAATTTGCTAAAATAGTCTCTAAGGCTATCTGTAGAGAGAGAAAGAGAGAGATGGGGGGGGGAGGAGAGAAGGTGTGGAAAAAAAAAAAGCAATGCAAATTTTGATCAAGGACAAAAACCAAAAGTAGTTTTCTGTTGTTATTCTGTTTTGTTTTTGCATTTTTTGCACACGCGGGGGAAATTCGGCAACAGAGGTCGCGTAGAGGGCTCGGAAAGGATTTGCTATTTAAAAAAATAACCTTGCACAGGAGAAGTGGGGAGCCAATGGCGGGGGGGGGCTCCTACACCGGGATAACAAAGAGCAATAAAGAAGCCAAGAAGGGGGGGACCCAGACGTCCCCCCCTCCCTCCCTTACCTGGTGAGGTCTGCCAGCTCAGTCCACCGATAAACATTTTACTAGAGGGAGAAAACATAACAGAAGTGAGCACCGATGTCAGATCGGCCATTTTGACGTGTAACTTACAAAAGCTAAAAGGAAAGCGGGGGGGAGCGAGCGAGCGAGAGCCGGGAGGTGGGGTGGGGGAGAAGGTGACGGCGAAATGCAATCCAAAGGTGTGTAACTTCCACGGGGGGGGCGCGCGGGAGGGGCGGGGGGGGCGCGGGAGATGCCCGGCTCCGCGCACCGCCGTCCCCGCCGCTGCAAGGAGAGCGAGCCCGAGGCGGCGCGGTGGGCAGCGGCTGGAAACTTACCCGGGGTCGTGCTGGGAGTCGTTGGCGCTGCCCGAGGTGCCTTGGCTCCCATTTGCCTCCATATCTGAGCCCCCCCGCCCCCCCACCCCCAAAAAACCGAGCCCCACAGCGATCGGAGCGGAGCGGCGGCCGGCTCCGAGCCCCGAGATCTCCCGCTCCCTCCTCCCCCTCCTCCTCCCCCCCGCCCGGGCTCCTCCGAATCTCTCTGCGAGCGGCGGAGCCGGGGCAGCGGCGAGAGCCGTCACACGTGGGCTCGGCTTAGCTCAGCCCCGCTGCTCGCACACCCCCCCGTCCCCGCCCCCCCGGCCCATCCCCACCTCTCCCCCTCCTCCTCCCCACCCCCATCTCCTCCTCCTCCTCCCCCTCCTCCCCAGCGCACGTGGGGCGGAGTTCTAGAACGTCGTGTAACCAATGCCGGTGACGTCACGCACCCCGGTGCGGCCCCAGCCTGCCCGCGCGCGCACACACTCGGGCCCCCCGCGGCCGGACCCACGGGGGCGGCGCGCGAACCCCGCGGCCAGAGGGGGCCCCGCCTCTAGGCGGGCCAGGCGCCGGCAGAGGGGGAGCGCACCCCGACTTCCCTGGATCACATGGGCTGCGGGGGGCGGGTGGATCGGAGGAGGGGGAGGCGCGGGGAGCTCGCCGCCGCTCCTCGCTCGGGCAGGGGAGAAGACGCCCCCCACCCCCTCTAGTTCGGCCTCTCCATTCAAGTTCGCCGGCCCCGGCCTCCGGGATCCGGGGATGGCACTAGCCGCCTGCCCAGCTCTGCGCCCTTTTTTTCCAGCCGCCGCGCAGAAATTTAGGTCAAGGACGTCGGGATCAAACCCAAACCCTGGCGCTCTTCGGCGGGCCCCGAGACCCCCCAGGATTGGGGAGCTTCAGGATTGCGGAGACCCTCCCGCACAAACAGCAGCCACAAGTTTTATTTTCCTTTGGCGCTGGAAGTTCTCTCTGGCTCTCGCTCCACACCGGCACGTCTTGCGCCGCTCCCCGCCCTTCCCCGGCAGAGGTACGAATCCGTGCCGGGGAAAGGTTATTTTGGAACTTTGAGAAACTGACGCGATTCCAGGGGTGAGAAAGTGCCGAAGAAAGGGTTTCCGCGTTAATCGTACAGAGTTTAAAAAATATAATAAAATAGATTTATAGGGGTCAAGGTCAAATGATTGGGGTTCAAAGTAAATTTTTATTTATAGTGAGCAATAGTTTTGAAGCATCTCTGGGATGGCTGGGAAGGGTGGTTGTTTTCAGGAAACCCCTCTCCAACCGGTTCCTTGTATATCTTTATTATTTCTATGCTGAGATAGTAAAATGCATGAGGTTGAAGTAGCCTAGGACCCCCACCCCCATCTGGGGAGGTGGCTGAGGATAGCAGAAGGCTTCAGACACTCTCACCCTCTACCACCTTGGTAGCAGTGTGGTGCTGCACAGGTCCTGGCACACAGTAGGTGCGTAATAAGTACTGGATTCATCTTTCCCCGCCCTGAAAACCCCCAAAAGACGATGCTGGTAGTTTCCCAAAGTCATCGCACACTTCCCCAGCAGTTTCCAGGCTGGCCAGATTCAGACTGGATTCAATTTATGGGATATTGAAAACAATAAGGATACAATTATCCATATTGTTTTAAATTATTACAATAAATTGAGTTAATATGGCATGAGGGGCAACACAAAGTTGTGGTTCATCAAATACTCAGATTAATCTTAAGTATGAATTGATGCCCAATTAACACCTTTCCATTAATTTTCATAGGATTAGGACACAATGGAATACACTCAACACCAAAACCATACCAAATCCACTGTGGGTCGTGGCAAAGTGGAATATTTGGAAAATCCCAACACTAGCCAAAGCCTTAAATGACCAGATTCTTAATCTCCCTGCCTCCTAAATTTGGGATAATTCCTCACTGACAGGATTGATGGAGTGAAAGGAGAGATTGAAGTAAGTAAATATAAAAGTCTATTTTTTTTATTGGAAACCTCTGCAGGTTGTGCTTATTATCAATCATCACTTACTGTGACTTTTTGGAAGGCACTTTAGAGCCTCAGACCACAAACCCAAGCATTTTCCCGTCACTCCAAGCTGCTTCCCAAATCATCTGGGGTCTCCGTGTGTTGAAGAGCTGCTTATTATGGTGATTGTTTATTATGACTATTCTCAATAACAAAATGCAGACAACAGAGCTAATTGGATTTTGTTTGGGATTTTTGCTCTAGAACCACAGACCCTCAGAGGTAGAAAGGCCTTTTCTGATCCAACCCTCTCATTTTTTCATCAGGGTCCCAGAGGAGCCAAGCTCTCCAGGGTGCACCCCACCCCCACCAGTCAGCTCCTTAGAGGGGCTGCGGCCATCACTCTGATGCCCTTTGGCTCTGTTACATGCATATTCATTTTGTCCTTCACAAGACAAGAGTGGGGTGTCCTTGTTCCCTGTTGTCGACCTACACAGGCTGACACTGAACTGAATTAAAACCCTGAGAGGGGCTAGCACTGCAATTATAAAGTCACTGGTGGAGAGAGAGCTTGATCTTCTATTTCCATGACTACATTGTTTTTACTTATTGATTTTTCATTTATGTGGTGTATGTAATACTTACTCTTCCTGGGCTATAATTCTCTGAGTTTTTGACAAATGCATAGAATTGAGCTGTCTCCACGATAACCCATCTGAGATGCAGAAGAGTTCCATTGTCCCAAAAAATTCTCTCTTGCTGCCCTTTTGCACTACGTTATTTGGAATAACTAATTATTTATTATGCATTTCTTCTCCAGCACATTTGCTTAATGCAGCCCCTGGGTCAGGAGAATTCCAGCAGCATGCGATGTCAGTCCTCTACCTTCTTTACTGCCCATGACACTGTTAGACACTCCCTACACGTAACTCACTCTTCCCTTGGCATCCTTGATGGCCACATTCTTTTGGTTTTCCTCCTACCTCTCCAGCCATTCGTTCGTCTCTTTACCCTGACTCCTCCTCTGCCTTTCCTTTAAATACCAGTGTTCATTCTCTTCCCCAGCTACACACCCTCCCCGGATGAGCTCCTCTGCACCCAGGGTTTAAATACTACCTACTTGCCCATGCTACTCAAGTTAAAATCTCCGGCCTGAGCTTTCCACAAAGCTCCAGGCTCTGGTTAATTTCCTATTCACTGTCTTCCACTTCACCTTCCTGGAGGTACCCCAAACTCAACATGCATGTCCAAACACACATGCATGTGTTTTCCCCTTGAACCTAAAACTTTTAAATTTCACTATATGGGTCAGCAGAATCCCAGCCATCCTAGAGACAAGGTTGGCCCTACTCCAGGTTGATGTCTTCCCATATGCAATCCGTCATGAAAGTGTGTGGGTTTCACTTCCTAAGTGTCTCTCAAGTTCGTCTTTGCTGCTGCTGCATCTCACATTTCCCACTTGAGCCCTTGCAATAACCTTCTAAGCATTCTTCCCAAACCATTTCTTCCTCCATTAGTGTAACTGGAAAGCATTCTCTGACCGGGTCAAATCCCCCTTGGAAGGCACCGTTACATTACCTCCATCAAACCATTGCTCTACCTTCCACATATTAGCACAGTGCCTGTTAGTGCATGGTTGACAATAAATAGTTGTTGAACAAATGAAAGGGTGAATGAATGAATGAATGAACAAATGAATGAATGTCAACATCTAATTTAATTGTAGGATTTATTATATTTGTGTCCATAAGTCAAATTGGCTGCAGTTTTCCCTTTTTGTATTGCCTTTGTCTGGCTATAGTGGCCTCATAAAATGAACTAGTAAATGTTTCTTCTTTTTTCATTTTCTGGAACAGTGTGTATAAAACTGGAATTGTGTGTTCCTTGAATGTTTGGTTGAACTTTCTAGTAAAATGTCTGGGTATGGGATAAACACTTCCTAGGTTGGTTTTTAAATACTGATTCCATTTCTTTAGTGGCTGTGGATCTCTTTAGTTTTTTTTGTTTGCGTTTGTGTTTTTTTTAAAGATTTTATTTATTTAGTTGACAGACAGCACAGTAGGCAGAGAGGCAGGCAGAGAGAGAGGAAGGGAAGCAGGATGCAGGGCTCGATCCCAGGACCCCAGGACCATGACCCGAGCCAAAGGCAGAGGCTTTAACCCACTGAGCCACCCAGGCACCCCCTCTTTAGGTTTTATATTCTTTTTGAGTCAGTTCTTACACATTATACTTTTCAAAGAAATAATTCATGCCAACTAGGTTTCCAAATGTATTAATAAAATGCTGTTGATAATTTCCTCTTAATATATTTTAATCTCTGCTGCATCTATCCATCATGTCCATTTTTTCATTCTTAGTATTATTGTATATGTGTCTTCTCTTTTTCTGGATTAGTGGTGCCAGAGATCTCCCTCTATTTAACTAATATTTCTGCTAGTGTTTTCAAAGAATCAGCTTTTAGATTGTCTAACACTATTTTTTAGTTTTATTAATTTTTATCTTTATATATTATTATATATATTATATTCTTGTATAAGAGAATAAGAGCATATATACCATACAAATAATATATAGCACCTGTAAGAATATAATATATTAATATGTAAGAATATAATACATATTTGGTGTTATTTTTTTCTGCTTTCTTTGTGTTTATTCTCTTGCTCTTTAAACATTTTTTTTAATTGGTGGCTTAAGTAATTAATTTTCAGTCTTCTGTTTTCTGATTGTAACATAGAAGACTCTGGATTTCACTCTGAGTACCACTCAAACGACATTCCACAAGATATAGAGAATTTTTATTATCATCCCAGGCAAAGAATAGATTTCAAATATGTTTTCTTCTTTGGCTCAATACCTGTGTATCTTCATATTTCTAAACACAAGTTTTTTTGTTTTGATTTTTAGTTATTAATAGCTAACGTAATTGAATTAGGGTCAGAGAAGGTAGTCTGTATAAAACAGATTCTTGTTATTTGTTGAGACTTGCTTTGCCAAATGGTCAATGTTTATAAATATTCCATGTGGCTTTGAAAAGAATATTCCAGATGGCTGGCTCAGTTGGTGGAGCATGCAACTCTTGATCTTGGGGTCAAGAGTTCAAGCCCCATGTCAGGCAGAG